AAATGTGAACAAAGGTTGGTAAAGTTTACAACAAAAAACACTTCTCTCACTCTACACAGTAATGGCAATCCTGCAATGTCCTATATATATTAATGCTAGCCTGAAAATATATTGTGTAAAATGGAGTTAGAGCTCAGGCTCAGACAGTAACAAAGAGGTAGGTTTTTCACTACATGAATGTACCTGCATGGCAGCGTATCTTATATCCTTGGCCTCTGTCTAACCTGTGCCATTCCTATACCTCCTTTAATGTGACAACTGAAATGCCTGCCCCTTTCAAGGCAGTGCCACACAGCTGAGAATCACCAATGTAGGCTGCTTTAATTAATGTTTATCCAGTGTTTGCTTGAAGGCAAGAGGTATTCCTTATAACAGAAAAGATATAAGATTTCTTTTCCTTAAAGAATTAACTTTCTAAAAGGTAAATTCAGAGATGCTTTCATGGCTCCAAGAAAACCAAACCTAGAGACAAACTATACATTAAATGTGCCTACAAAGTTGCAGAGAATGGCTGACAGAAGGGGAAAAGTAATAAAAGGATGATAAGTGGAAAGAAACAGCATTATTAGACTGTACCTACTTATTTCTGTGAAACATTTTATTCTTTATTTTTATAATCTTTGCCATTTTGTTGTTGTTGTTTTTAGAGACAGAGTCTCTGCTCTGTTCACCAGGTTAGAGTGCACTGATGCCATCATAGTTCACTATATCCTTGAACTCCTGGCCTCAAGAGATCCTCCTGCCTCAGCTTCCCAAACAGTGGGGACTACAGGTCTTGCCATCATGACTGGCTAATTTTTTTGTTTATTTGTTTGTTTTGTAGACAGCGGGATCTTGCTATGTTGCTCAGGCTGGTCTTGAACTCCTATCCTCAAGTGACCCTCCTAACTTGGCCTCCCAAAGTTCTGGGATTACAAATGTAAGCCACTGACCCTGGCCTAATCTTTGCTATTTGATACATGAAAAAATGTCTCATTGTTTTAATTCGCATTTCTTAAATTTTGAGAGTGAATACTTTTAATATATATTTATTGGCTGCTTGTGCTCCTTTTTTCTTTTTTCTTTTGAGACAGACTCTTGCTTTGTCACCCAGGCTAGAATACAGCGGCATCAGCCTAGCTCACAGCAATCTCAAACTTCTGGGCTCAAGCGATCCTCCTGCCTCAGCCTCCCAAATAGCTGGGACTACAGGCACGTGCCACCACACCTGGCTAATTTTTTTATGTTTAGTAGAGATGGGGACTCACTCTTGCTCAGGCTGGTCTCAAACTCCTGACCTCAAGCAATCCTCTCACCTCGGCATCTCAGAGTGCTAGGATTACAGGCATGAGCCACTGCACCCAGCCAGCTGCTTCTATTTCTTCCCATTTCCTTGCCCATTTTCTGTAACAGTTTCTGTCACCTCAGTGATTTCTAATAGCTCTTTATACATTAGAAATCTCAATGCTTGTAACCTATCTGAAAATAATTACCTAAACCAGAGCTGTAGCTGAGTCCACAGGGATAATGAGGCCATTTCCAAGTCTGGAGCTGGGGCCTCAGTTGGTGAGTCTGCCACCTGGGTGTGGTTCTGCCCTCTCAAAACAGCCTTCCAGGATCTCAGGCCTCACCAGGGTCTCACAACCTCCTCTCTAGATCCCAAAGCTCCCACAGAGGTGCTTTTGTCTGTAGATGGCTCCAAAATTATTCTCCTGTGGAGGGATACAAGCTCCTAGTCCGCCATTATGCTGATGTCACTCTCCTAGTTAATGTCTCTTAAGTCTCTTTTATTCTGTAGGCTCCTCTTCCATCTTCATTGTTATTGTTGTTTTAATTTTCTTGCAATTTATTTATAGGTCATTTGTCTTAAAGTTTCCCACATTCTGTGTTTTATTGATTGCTTTCTCATGGAATCATTTTAAAAAATATATCCTTCTATCCATATACTTCATGTGAGCCTATAAATTAGTAGTTGGATCTAGGAACTTGATTAGATTAAGGTTCAATTTTTTTTTTCTTTTTTTTCTTCCATCAGGATGTATATAAATAAGGTTTCTGCTTGCATTAATTTTTTTTCTTTTTTTTTAAAGACAGGGTCTCCTCATGTTGCCCAGGCTGGAGTACAATGGCTATTCACTGGTGAGATGTGAGATCATAGCACACTGCAGCCTCAAACTCTTAGGCTCAAGTGATCCTCCAGCCTCCGCCTCCCAAGTAGTTGGTGACTACAGGCATGCACCACCATACCCAGCTTGCCTCACTTTTTGTGTTGTGCTCCACCACATCCTGGAACCCCAAAACAAAAATCATTTATTTCTTCACAAATTTGCAACTTTTCTAGCTCTCAACTACACTATAATAAAGATTAGTTCATTACTATTTTTAGATTTTAACACATTGACTTGCACACTAAAAAAAAATTTTTTTCCTTGGGACCATGATGTTTTATTACGAAACTAGAATTAAAACTGCAAAAACACAATGATCCTTTCTAATTTAATGAAAAATTTGTTAT